CAAAAGAAAAAATTGGTCTAAAGAGTTTAGACAGTACTTCCCTCGCTGTCGGAAACTTGACGACTGCATGCCTATTGTGTTTTTTTTTCTCATTACATTTTTGTAGTGGGAATTTAAAAAAAAATTGCGATGACGTCATCAACATTTTTGCAAGGACACGTTTATCAGTTGGGATAGATGTAGTGTAATACTAAGAATAAAATTATTATATTCTCAAATTTTCGGGAAAATGAATTGGGTCGTTTTGAATATTGATTTGTAATAATCAATAAAATAACGAAACACTTTACTCACGTATACGTATCAGAGGCAACTGAAAATCGTGTATGTATAAACATTCTTAATTTAAGATGACAGGCGTAACAGCATACGTGAGAGTCAAACAGAGAAACTGTAAACAAAACGACCGTCGGTTTTATTGCTTCGACTTCCGCTTATTATATAAAACATTGGGTTTTATTTTAATTCTTGACGGTGAAATTCACAATTGGTTGATTATAAACATGTCTATTTCACATTCGCGGAACCAAGTGAGCGCATAAAACAAATGCAGGTCTGTAATGTTAAAGTCGATGTAAATAAGCGTGCTACCCTTATGTTTCAACCGAGTTTTTCCTTTAACAAATTTTGTGTCTACCAAATTGGGTTGGTTGGGGTGTAATACTAATAATAAGTGTTGCCTTTAATTTAATCAATAAAATAAATTGACTTCATTAATTTTTTTGAACCACCTCTTAAGAAAATCTAAAAAATATGAATGGAATGATAAATCACAAGTACAAACTCATCATATTTTTTGCATTTTAGATAGGATTTATTCAGCAAAATTTAAGGGTGACGTCATCAATTTTTTTAGGAGGGATGAACAAATACATTTTGAACAAAAATTTACCATGCTTATAATAACTTTAAAATATTTCCAAGATTTCAAAGCATTCGGTTTTGTAATTCCTGATTAAATCGATAAAATAAATTCACGCCTTCATTAATTTTTTTGAGTCACCCTGCATATGCAAATCCAAAAATATGAATGGAATGATAAATCACAAGTGCAGACTCATCATATTTTGTACATTTTAGATACGATTTATTCGGCAAACTTTTGAGCTGACGTCATCAGTTTTTTGTAGAAGATAACCAAATATATTTTGACTAAAAATTTATTATGCTCTTTATAACCTTAAAACATCTGCAAAATTTCAAAGCATTCGGTTTTGTAGTTCCTGATTAAATCAATAAAATAAATTTACGCATTCATTAATTTTTTTGAGTCACCCTGTATATGCAAATCGAAAAAATTTGAATGGAATGATAAATCACAAGAAGAGACTCACCATATTTTGTACATTTTAGATAGGATTTATTCAGCAAAATTTTGTGGTGACGTCATAAATTTTTTAGGGGGGACGACCAAATACGTTTTGATAAAAAATTTACCATGCTTATGATAATTTTAAAGTATCTTCAAGATTTCGAAGCATTCGGTTTTGTAGTTCCTAAGTAAATCAGTAAAATAAATTTACGCTTTCATTTATTTTCTTGAATCACCCTGTATATGCAAATCCAAAAAATATGAATGGGGTGATAGATCACAAGTACAGACTGATCATATTTTGTACATTTTAGATATGATTTATTCGGCAAAATTTCGAGCTGACGTCATCAAGTTTTTGGAGGGGATAAGCAAATATATTTTGACTAAACATTTATTATGCTCTTTATGACCTTAAAACATCTGCAAGATTTCAGAGCATTCGGTTTTGTAGTTCCTGATTAAATCAATAAAATATATTTACGCATTCATTAATTTTTTTGAGTCACTCTGTATATGCAAATCCAAAAAATATGAATGGAGTGATAGATCACAAGTACAGATTCATCATATTTTGTACATTTTAGACATGATTTATTCCACAAACTTTTGAGCTGACGTCATCAAGTTTTTGGAGGGGATAAGCAAATATTTTTTGACTAAAGATTTATGATGCTCTTTATAGCCTTAAAACATCTGCAACATTTCAAAGCATTCTGGTTAGCAGATTAAAAATTAAATTTCAAAATGTTGTTTTATAATTTTGATTTTTTTTCCAAAAATCTGGACGTTTCGGGTGAAAAGTCGATTCAGAGTTGTAAACTACATGTGTAGGACTATGTTATTTTATACAATTGAAAACCCATTTACTATGTACAATTTTGAAGTGACGTCATCGCATTAGTGGTGGGGATGATTAGACAAATTTTGGTTAGCGTTTTACCATCTACATGATATTCTTAATATAAGTACAAAATTTCACAACAATCGGTCGAGTACTTTCGGAGATTATCTGTCTAATAAAAATCCGGGACAACAGACGGACAGACGGACGGACAGACGGACGGACAGACGGACAGACGGACAGACAGACGGAAATGGGAGACCTATTTCTTCGTCTTCTAGGGGTCATGAAAGATCGAGAAAACGTAAAAGTAGAGAGTCGGCCGACGGACTCGATTACAATACTTCCTTTGCTTACGCTCGGGAAGTAAAAGGAGATGAAAAAATATTTTTTGCACTCATGACCTTTTTTGATAGCTTTCGCGCATTCATCAGAGTGCGGGAGGTCGAACTTCCCGCACACGTGCATTTAACTTCCCGTTGCCATGGTAACCTTAAAATACTCGGGTAGTGTCAACATTGTGACGTGTTGACGGCGCTGTCAATGGCGTTGTTTATAAATAACTCACAGTTAATGTCTTCAGTTTAAAGGTTTATTCGTCGCAAAAAATATTGTACACAACACGTTCGTGAGCCTGCTTCCCGCATTCACGCAAATGCGGCACTCCCTTTGGTCGTGCCTCAAACAAGCGTTCATGCGGGAAGCAGGCTATCCCGAACTAGTTGCGTAAATTACTATATAGGAGGGGATTTTAACGCAAGATTTGGCGATAAGGGGACAATAATTATAGATAAAGAAAAGGGAGACAAAAGAGAATCAAAAGACAAAGCAAATAACAAAGATGGGAAAATATTGTGGGAGATAATAGAAGAAAGGGGATGGGAAATTTTGAATGGAAACAAGGAAGGAGATGAAGAGGAGAATGGACGTACGTAGGGGCTAGAGGAGAATCAATTATAGACTATGGGATTGTCAACGAAGAGGCGTGGGAAGAAATAGAGAGTTTCAAAGTGGGGGAAAGGGTAGAATCAGACCACATGCCACTAGAAATAAAAATCAAAGGAAAAGAGCAAAAGTACGAAAAATAAGAGAGAAGAAACGAAAGAAAAGAAATAGAAAAAAGAATATGGGATGAAGAGGGAATTCAAAGATACAGAAGTAGACTAGAAAAAAGGAAATTCGAAGTAAAAGAAGATATAGAAGCTATGATAGCCGAACTGATCAACTTAATTGTAGAAACTACGGAAAAAAGAAAGATATGGCAAGGGAGGAATAATGGATGGAACGGAGAATGTAGAGAGTTGAAGAGAAAAGCAAGGGAAAAATTAAGAAAATGGAAGAATAACAAGAGAAGGAATCAAGAGTACTTAAAAGCAAGAGATAGGAGAAAATGTGAAGAAAGAAAAAGAGAAAAACGAGAAGAAGAAGAGAAGGCAATAAAGTCACTGAAAACAGAAAAAGAAGTATGGAGACATATAAGCACGGAACGGAGAAGGAAGACTGAAGTCAGTAGGAAAATCAAGATACATGAATGGAACAAATATTTGTGTTAAAGGTATCAAGGTCTATTTGTTCAAAGATCCGATGACTACACTTCCAAAAGCGAAAACTAAGTTTGAAATAATGTTTGTTCTCCATTATTATTTTGTTTTATTGTCTTCTGTATGCAATTTTCAAAATTTTGGCGAAAAATCTCTGGTCCAAATAATAAATCAACACAGTTTCGTTACTAGTAATACAGGTTTAGAATAGTTTTTGATTGTATGTTATCTATTTATCTGATTGACAATGTAATTAAAAATCTTTGTACTTTGCTATTACATAACTTTAATAAGAAGCAAACATGAGTATGACAGACAAGGACGTGTAAGACGTACCAGCGTTCAAAATATCAAAGTATCTTCAAGGCAAACTGTCCCTAAATAAATTGAGTCATTAATTTTTTTGCATCACGGTGTATATTCATATCGAAAAAACATGAATGCAAATGCAGTAATTTCAAAAGTGTGCGGTATACTTTGAATGATAAAAAAAGCAGAATAAAAATGAGAAACGAGACTGCAAACAAAACTCAGGCGGCAGCTCTTTGTGCAGGTGGCTGCCTGGCTGCAAGTTATAAATTAGTGGAACGCTCGAAAGAGGCCAATTTTGCTTTTTGCATAACCTCGAGATCACAATGTCAACAAACAGCCATTTACTCTGTGCAATTTTGAAGTGACGTCATCACATTATTGGTGGGGTGATTAGACAAATTTTGATTAAGGTCACAAACTAGTAAATAACAATATAATTAATTCACATCCAGTGTGCATTAATTTGTTGTAAACAATTTTTTGTCTGTATAAAAAAATTACAAACAAACGAATCCCTACTCTGATCTAATCTAATCTGACGTAACATTTCCGAAAAACGTCACAGTTTTACAAGGCTCTGATCTGTTTAATGCTGGTTAATTCTGAATGGATTGATTGGGCACTTTCCTTGTATTTTCTATATAAACAAGGCTATTGACGCATAAAAACAAGAATCAGTTAATTAAAAACCTGAATAATTACGCAATGTCGTTCTAAATATGCTGTTTCTGAAAATTTTGTCGTACTTTTTTATCTTCAATTCGACGAGATTTAAAGACAACAAAAATCTTGTGTGGTAACCGAAAAATGGTCCTGCGAGCCGGACATACACTATTAATCAACAACAAAAACGCAACTCATCAATTCAAAATCAACCAACCTCAAGCACAATTTAATTATGGTAATAAAGTCGAATTGCACATTAACCCGGTTTCAATTGTCGTCTTACTTACTGGTTTGCCATGATTTTTCTGTTAAAAACAACGTAAAAATGATGCGTTTCCATCTAAAGAGAGCACAGTGTGTGTCGACCATGTCAAACGACAGTCAAATCGTCAATTTTTTCAAAAACCAAACAATTTTCTTAACTGGGGGAACCGGTCTTATTGGTAAACTTCTTGTGGAAAAACTGCTACGAACAAGTTTTGACGTGAAAAAGATTTATATTTTGGTGCGTGCCAAACATGGAAAAAACTGTCAGCAACGTTTCGATCACTTCTTCAATAATTCAGTAAGTAACAAGTGGTCGTTTTTAACAGTTCCAAAATTATTACTTCAGTGTTTCGAGAAGATTAACCAGGAGAATAAGAGCAAGGTCTCGTTTATTAGTGGAGATTGCAGCAAACCTGATTTAGGACTAAAGTCTGAAGACGTCGATATTTTAAAAACAGAAACGACGTGTGTTATTCACGCTGCTGCCAACGTCAACTTTCGACAGACGATAAAGGAAGCCAGTTATAATGTCAATTCCACCAAAGAAATGATAAAGTTGGCTAAAGAGATGAACAACTTGAAAGTTTTTGTCTACGTGTCTACAGCTTATTCGAATTGCGTCAATAACCACATTCGCGAAGAAATTTATGAACCACCTATAAAAGCAGAAGCATTTCTGCATTTAGTTAATTCTTGTAACGAAGACGATTTGGAAAACATTTTTTTTAGTTACCTGAACAAATGGCCAAATAATTACGTTTTCTCAAAGTGTTTATCAGAAGATTTGATTAAGAACTCACTGCTGGAAACACCAATAGCAGTTGTTCGTCCATCATCTGGTAAATTCACCACACACTTACTAGACTCAAGAAACGAGCATTTGCATTTCAGTTACGAATACTATGAACGAACCGGTTCCAGGGTGGATTGACAATTATCACGGTTTTATTGGTTTGACAGCCGGAAGTTACGTGGGTGTTTTGCGGAATGCTTATGCAAAAAAAGAAAAGAAGCTGCATTTAGTCCCAGCTGATTTTGTTTGTAACTGTATTTTGGCGGCAGCTTGGGACACCGCAAACTCGAAAACTGTCAAAGTGTTCAACTGTGTTGGTAAAGGGATATCTTACGGTTGGGTGACAAGTTTATTGTTTTCAAATCCATACAAATTGTTTCTTTTAGGAGAACTAGCACGTGCAGTGAATACCCTTTGCTGGAAATACCCAACCATGAAATGTATGTGGAACCCAGAAACTTCACTAGTTCAAAATAAATTTTGGTACAACGTAAAAGCTTTTTGGATGTTGATGTTAGCACATTGTATTGATTTTGTATTTTTCTGTTTTAAAAAGCCAGCGAGGTAATTTTTGTTAAATCAGAGTCTTGAACATTGCTTAATGTTTTCCAGGGCTGCAAATTTGATGAAACGCATAACCGAACAAGTGAATGTGTCGTCATATTTTACCTCTCGGGAATGGAACTTTGACGAGGACAGATTTATGAATTTGTGGAAGAAAATGGGGGATGAAGATAAGAAGATTTTTCCTTTTCATGTTAGCACAATAGACTGGGATAAATATTTGTGCAGTTGTGTTTTAGGTATCAGAGTCTATTTGTTCAAAGATCCGATTGCTACACTTCCAAAAGCGAAAACAAGTTTAAAATAATGTTTGTTCTTCATTGTACAATTGTCGCTTTGTTCTACTATCTTCTGTATGTAGTGTTTAAATTTTTGACAAGAAACATGTATGTATTATAAATAGTGTATAACAATTTGAGCCAGAGATGTCTATCTGGTAGAAAATATAACTGAAAGTCTAGAGACAACATTAATTTTACTTCCCGAGCGTAAGCAAAGGAAGTATTGTAATCGAGTCCGTCGGCCGACTCTCTACTTTTACGTTTTCTCGATCTTTCATGACCCCTAGAAGACGAAGAAATAGGTCTCCCATTTCCGTCTGTCTGTCCGTCTGTCCGTCTGTCCGTCTGTTCGTCTGTCCGTCCGTCTGTCCGTCTGTCCGTCCGTCTGTCCGTCCGTCTGTCCGTCTGTCCGTCTGTTGTCCCGGATTTTTATTAGACAGATAATCTCCGAAAGTACTCGACCGATTGTTGTGAAATTTTGTACTTATATTAAGAATATCATGTAGATGGTAAAACGCTAACCAAAATTTGTCTAATCATCCCCACCACTAATGCGATGACGTCACTTCAAAATTGTACATAGTAAATGGGTTTTCAATTGTATAAAATAACATAGTCCTACACATATAGTTTACAACTCTGAATCGACTTTTCACCCGAAACGTCCAGATTTTTGGAAAAAAAATCAAAATTATAAAACATTTTGAAATTTAATTTTTAATCTGCTAACCAGAATGCTTTGAAATGTTGCAGATGTTTTAAGGCTATAAAGAGCATCATAAATCTTTAGTCAAAAAATATTTGCTTATCCCCTCCAAAAACTTGATGACGTCAGCTCAAAAGTTTGTGGAATAAATCATATCTAAAATGTACAAAATATGATGAGTCTGTACTTGTGATCTATCACTCCATTCATATTTTTTGGATTTGCATATACAGGGTGACTCAAAAAAATTAATGAATGCGTAAATATATTTTATTGATTTAATCAGGAACTACAAAACCGAATGCTCTGAAATCTTGCACATGTTTTAAGGTCATAAAAAGCATAATAAATGTTTAGTCAAAATATATTTGCTTATCCCCTCCAAAAACTTGATGACGTCAGCTCGAAAGTTTGCCGAATAAATCATATCTAAAATGTACAAAATATGATGAGGCTGTACTTGTCATTTATCACTCCATTCATATTTTTTGGATTTGCATATACAGAGTGACTCAAAAAAATTAATGAATGCGTAAATATATTTTATTGATTTAATCAGGAACTACAAAACGGAATGCTCTGACATCTTGCAGATGTTTTAAGGTTATAAATAGCATAATAAATGTTTAGTCAAAATATATTTGCTTATCCCCTCCAAAAACTTGATGACGTCAGCTCGAAAATTTGCCGAATAAATCATATCTAAAATGTACAAAATATGATCAGTCTGTACTTGTGATCTATCACTCCATTCATATTTTTTGGATTTGCATATACAGGGTGATTCAAGAAAATAAATGAAAGCGTAAATTTATTTTACTGATTTACTCAGGAACTACAAAACCGAATGCTTCGAAATCTTGAAGATATTTTAAAATTATCATAAGCATGGTAAATTTTTGATCAAAACGCATTTGGTCGTCCCCCCTAAAAAATTTATGATGTCACCACAAAATTTTGCTGAAAAAATCCTATCTAAAATGTACAAAATATGGTGAGTCTCTTCTTGTGATTTATCATTCCATTCAAATTTTTTCGATTTGCATATACAGGGTGACTCAAAAAAATTAATGAATGCGTAAATTTATTTTATTGATTTAATCAGGAACTACAAAACCGAATGCTTTGAAATCTTGCAGATGTTTTAAGGTTATAAAGAGCATAATAAATTTTTAGTCAAAATATATTTGGTTATCTTCTACAAAAAACTGATGACGTCAGCTCAAAAGTTTGCCGAATAAATCGTATCTAAAATGTACAAAATATGATGAGTCTGTACTTGTGATTTATCATTCCAATCATATTTTTGGATTTGCATATGCAGGGTGACTCAAAAAAATTAATGAAGGCGTGAATTTATTTTATCGATTTAATCAGAAATTAGAAAACCGAATGCTTTGAAATCTTGGGAATATTTTAAACTTATTATAAGCATGGTAAACTTTTGTTCAAAATGTATTTGTTCATCCCTCCTAAAAAAATTGATGACGTCACCCTTAAATTTTGCTGAATAAATCCTATCTAAAATGCAAAAAATATGATGAGTTTGTACTTGTGATTTATCATTCCATTCATATTTTTTAGATTTTCTTAAGAGGTGGTTCAAAAAAAATTAATGAAGTCAATTTATTTTATTGATTAAATTAAAGGCAACACTTATTATTAGTATTACACCCCAACCAACCCAATTTGGTAGACACAAAATTTGTTAAAGGAAAAACTCGGTTGAAACATAAGGGTAGCACGCTTATTTACATCGACTTTAACATTACAGACCTGCATTTGTTCACTTAGTTCCGCGAATGTGAAATAGACATGTTTATAATCAACCAATTCTGAATTTCACCGTCAAGAATTAAAATAAAACCCAATGTTTTATATAATAAGCGGAAGTCGAAGCAATAAAACCGATGGTCGTTTTGTTTACAGTTTCTCTGTTTGGCTCTCACGTATGCTGTTACGCTTGTCATCTTAAATTAAGAATGTTTATACATAAACGATTTTCAGTTGCCGTATACGTGAGTAAATTGTTTCGTTATTTTATTGATTATAAAAAATCAATATTCAAAACGACCCAATTCATTTTCCCGAAAATTTGGGAATACAATAATTTTATTCTTAGTATTACACTACATCTATCCCAACTGATATCCGTGTCCTTGCAAAAATGTTGATGACGTCATCGCAATTTTAAATTCCCACTACAAAAATGTAATGAGAAAAAAACACAATAGCCATGCAGTCGTCAAGTTTCCGACAGCGAGGGAAGTACTGTCTAAACTCTTTAGACCAATTTTTTATATCTACAGAAGATCATTGTTACACTAATTATAACGTTACTGCTCTCCCACTCAGATTTATAGTAATGGATTTTTCTAATCATTTAACAGCCTTAACTGGATGGAAAATGACCACTCTCAGATTAGCAGCTGCAAGATTTGTGACGTTTTTTGAAAGTGTTTTTTTTTTCTCAATCAATCCCTATATATTTTTTTTGCTTGATTAAATCGGTTAAAGTGGATTGATTAATTAAGATTATCCAAATTTTCTGAAATAAGATACTCTCGTACTAGTGGTTAATGAATCCACCTTGGTTGTGTTAATGATTATTATATTGTCCTAAATCTCGCAATTATTTCTTTTTCTTCCGCGCTTTCTCTGTCTAGGTACTTTGGTATTGTTTCTGTTAGTATCTTTCTATAGTCTGCAATGTACCTAGATTTACTTACACTCGCTCTTCTCTCTTGTTTATCTATGTCTCGGTCACGCATACACAACTCTTCTCTCATACTCACCCCCATTTCTCTCTTTCTGTCTATTAACATCCATGCGTATCCTAGTCTTTCATAATATCCTTGTCTATCCTTGTGATGTTCTTTCCCTGCTTCCTTTTTTTTTCCTTCCAGCATTCATACAATATTCTACATTCCTCTCTTTCTTTCAACCTTACATCATACTTTACAGCTCTTTTCCCAGTGCATTCTCTTAATTTCTCTCGTTTACATTCTTTTCTTACTATATAGCCTGACGTCTCTTTCCGTAGCCCTAACCTCCACCTCAAATATTTTTGTTGTACTGCTTCCACCTCTGCATATTCCTTCCATCCCCATATCTCCACTTAATACACTCCTAACTAAACTATCAAACATTTTCATCCTTCTTCTTACGTCATGTCCAAATATTCTCTCATTTATACTCCACACCACTCCCATTATCTGCATTACTTTAACCCTTCTTTCTCTTATGTGTGCCTTTATCGTGTTAGTTGTTGTAAACTTAAATCCTAAATATTTAAACTCCTTTACTGTGTCTATGATTCGATCTTCCCAACGCCACACTTTTTCCGCCCCCTTTCTCCCTTTTTTTCTAAACACGATCATTTTTGTTTTTTCTACATTTACCTCCAGTTTCTTTCTTTCAAAGTATCTTTGCAGATTTTTTTTCATCTCATTCATTCCACATTCATCCTTCGTCAATATTACCAAATCATCTGCAAATGCCAAACACCATACCTTTTCTCTCCCCACCACAATTCCTACCGCTTGTACTCCTCTAAATATTTCCTCGATATCGCTTATGTAACAGGCAAACAGACTGGGACTTAATGGGCATTCCTGTCTCAATCCTTTCGTCGTCCAAAACATTTCACTTTCTATTCCTCCCACTCTCACACTAGTCACTGTCTCTCTATAAATCTCTCTTGCTGCTGCAATTAACTTTTCATTCAGTCCTCTTCTCCCCATGCATTCCCACTAACACTCTCTGTCCATCGTATCAAACGCGGCTTTTAGGTCTACAAACAGTCCATTTACCCGACCTCCTTCCTTTAGCAACTCTTTTTCTGTTAGATGATGCAGGATATATACATTGCGTACAGTTTATATGCCGTATTTAGGAGAGTTATTCCCCGATAATTCTCTACTTTTTCTTTACAACCCTTTTTATGAATTAGGCATATTTGCCCTACTCTCCATTCCCTGGGAAAAGCTTTACCCGTCCACACATCATTCATTAACTCGCTCAATCTTTCAATCATCCCATCCATCCCAAATATCCACACTTCGTTTACCAACCCATCCCTCCTCGGTGCTTTTCCTCTTTTTAGTCTTCCTACTTGTTTTCCTACTTCCTCTACTCGAATCTCAGCCTCCCTTTCTCTACCACCAATCCCGGTTTTACTATCTTGCACCACAATTCTCTCTTCCTTTCCATTCAACAGTTCCATAAAATGTTTCTTCCACTGTGTTATGGGTATGTCTTCACTAATCGTGATTTTGTTCTTCCGTTCTTTATTTATATACTGCCATGCCTCTTGCTCAG